ACATATAACTAAATAATCTTGTGAAATTACCTTTTGATGAATCTGGAGTGGAACAGGGAAATGAATAGAGATGGGTCTTAGATTGAGTTTTGATTTAAGTGATGGTTCTTCTTTGCTTTGGTTTATTCCACGCGGTTTCAGTACCAGAAAAGACTGCCAAAGGGCGACAATTGTTACTTGTCAAACATAATTAATGAAAAGAAAGGCAGATAATATATGGACAAACCACAGTGAGATGCATCTAAGTAAATATATATTTGTACCTTTGGCTTTGGATTTCCTCTAGAATGATCAATATTGGGAGCTAGCTTGCAAAGGAAGAGCCTTGGAACAGGAAAACAAGAATCATGGCAGAGCAAACAACGTATGGGTCTAGGGAGCCCTTGTTTTCGTAGAAGAGAGAAATGAAAAAGACGACGTTAGGTGATCGCTTTTTGTTTGTTTATTCCACCAGAAAAGACTAGATTACTGGGCATTGGGTGCTTTCTTGTTCATCATCCAACACACATAATTAAAGATAGAAAAGAAGAGTGATGAGTTTGGATGGTGGAAACGGGAAAGTGCAGAAGATGGTAGTCTTGGATTCTGCTTTGATTTTAGTTGAGTCAATGGTCTTCTTCGATTGATTCCATCATAACCAGTTTCAGAACCTGAAAAACAAGGCAAAAGGGCAGTTATTTTGTTAGTCGTCAAAATCATAAAGAAAAGGGAAGGCGAATGAATAAACCAAATTAAATTAGATGCATGTTAAGTGAACTACAATCAGTACCTTTTTCCTTTTAATTTCCTTTGGAATGTTCAATGTTGGAACAAGAAAACAAGATCTACAGCATGATAAAGCAAAAGAGTCTTTAGATTTGAATCGATCGGTGAGTTTGCAGGAAAGGGTTGTAAGATTGAGCTTTGGCTTTGGGAGAGAAATGAAGATGGGAAAGTCACGTGTTTTTTTTTTTTTCGGTAGAAGGCAAGTTAGGTGGTTGCTCCTTCTTAATTGATCCCACCACGCAATTTCTCCCAAAGGGCCAAGAAATTAGGCACATCATTTCAGTCAACTCTCAGTGTCCCACTTTTTCTTTTGCCTTTTTTGTACTAATGGGATTTTTTTTTAATCGTGAAAAATTAACATATTTTAATAATTAAATATCAATAATAAAA